TTGTTAGGTAAAACTCAAGATTGAAAGTGAAATTATAAGAAATAAATGAAAATTGACGAAAAAAAGAAGATTTTCAAAGTTTGAAGACCAAATTACAAATATCTAAAAGTTGATTCGGATCAAAGAATGATGATTGAAGATTACATTGGGTGGTCAAATGAATGAAATCAGAAGGCAAAGGGTGAAAGTTGCACGAAGAAAGGACTCAAGATTCACAACAAATCAAAAGTGGAGGACCAAACTGCAAATTTTTGCAAAATATAGGGTGTGATTGCACATTTTTTGGCCAGCACATCCCTCATGTTTAGCTGTTGCAATTGCTAGCCTCTTAATTTAGATCATATCATAAAATCTTTTAAGAACAAATGGCTAATTCACCACCTTTTGAGAGAGGATCAAACCTAACAAAAAATTCAAGGCAAATTACATCAAAAAGATGAAAAATCAAGGCTTGAAATTGAAGATTCATAACAAGAGATTGATTCCACACATTTGTTGCATTCATACACTTTTCAGGTGATGTCTTTTCATTTTTTTTTTATTTTTTATTTTTCTAATAACATTAGAAACATGTAGGGCTAGATTTTCTTTGTGTTGGAATGAAGATGAACCTTATTATTGTTTATTTTTAATTCAAAGACCAAGTAGTCAGTTAATTTTTATTTTTTTTATTGATCTTGTATGTTTTGTTGCATTATTTAAATGCTTGAGGCACCATTTATATAATTAGTTGTTTGTTATAGTTTCAGGAGGTTCATAATATGTTAGAATTTTGTAATTTCAATACACGATCAATCCATATTAGAAATAATATTATGGAGTATGATAACTAGATAATCGTATAATTTAATGCATTACTTTACACATGAATTTGAAATAAGAATATGACATGGTCATACTTAAAATATGCTTAACCTACTTGAAAACATATAATTAAATAAAGTTGGATTATCATTTGTCTAGATATATAAATGACATTAAATTACAGAGATCGATAATTGAAAATAGGGCAACTATAGATGGATTCAGAATAACACATTCATTCACATATATTAAGTAAAAATGTTTTTAGATAATTATTAAATTAATTCAGAAATAAACAACTAAGCCCATGTTTGGTTTGGATTAAAATCCAATTAAAATTTAAAGTCAAAGTTAATAATTAATTTTAATCACACATTTTATGAGACTCACAATTTTTCAACCACACATTCCATCAACTTTTATCAAATATAAAATATGATTTTAATCTCCATCATACATGGGCTAAATCTTTTGTGTTACTTTATATTCGAATTTGTTAACAAATTAGTATAATTCTGTTTAAAGATTATTTCTCTTGAGACGATATTTTTTCTCACTAAATTATTACATGTCAACGATCCCGTACACTTTCGTATTCACGTTTACAATATGTTTAATTTAAACTAATCTCAAAGGATAAACACAATCTGTTGCAAAGTGAAAATATAACAAGTAAAATTTATATTCTAAAATGTGTAGCAATTTAAAATAGTAACGTTGCAACAATAAAAAAATAGAATTTTATTTTAATTTGATAAACGTTAACCATTTGTTTGCCTTACAAAATACCATCACCATCCCACGGAGGAAGGCTCCCTTGGGGTCAGGAGTATAAGGGGTGCACAGACCCTGGTCAATTTGGGCATATCCCGCGATTAACCTCCACCCATCACTGAGGGGC